GGGGGGATCCCTGGCCAGGGGGGTGCTGGGTCAGAGGGGGATCCCAGGCCAGGGGGAGTGCTGATTTGGGGGGGCAGATCCCAAGCTGGTGGGTGCTGGGTTGGGGGGATCCCAATGGAGGGTGCTGATGCTGTGCCCCCCAGCGGTCAGATCCTGGTGAGGGACAGGGGGGTTATTTCATAGGGGATCCAGTTAGGATGCAGCCACCCCCCCCTCCCCAGGGCCCCCCATTCTAAAGTGCTGCCTGATACGCGACCAGCCCCCAGCGTGGGGCCGGGATGGGGCCCAAGACCCAGTGCTGAGCCTGGCTTCGTCGCTGCGCCGGGGGGCCCGGTCCCAGGGCTCCTCACGGGGCGGGGGGCTCGGCCGGGGGGGGCTGCGGCTGGTGGTCGGGGGCCGGGGTCTCCGCGTCGGGCCCGTCGGCCTCATCGTCTGAGACGCCCTCCAGCCGGAAGACCTGACGCACCGTGCGGGTGGTGAACGTCAGGGGGGCGCGCCTGGGGGGGAAAGAGGGGTCAGTCCGGGCCATGGGCCCCCCACAGCACCCCCGCCTGCTCCCACGGCAGGCCCCAAGTCAGCGCCCCCACCGTGTCCCCTAGTTCACCTCCCTAGGGCCCCCCACAGCCAGCACCCCAGGTTCAACAGTGCCCCCCGGTCCCACAGGGTCCCCCCCAGCTAGCACTGTTGCCCCCTTCCCCCCCCGCCAGCTCCCCTGCTCCCACCCCCTGGGCCCCCACCACAGCCAGCACCCCCACCTTGCTCCCCACAGTGCCCCCAGTACCCCCCACCACCAGCAGCGCCCTCCTTGGAGGCCCCACACCCCCCACAGCACCCCCGCCCCACCCTGCCTGGCACCCCTTGCCGGAAGAGGCTAGAAATGACACACTTGGCCCCACACACACCCCCGGCAGCCCCCCCAACCCTCCCCCAAGCTGAGTGCGGCAGCAGAGTCACACAGCAGAGCCTGGGGATCCGAGGGCCCACCGACGTCGGTAACTGCCCCCCACCAGCCGGTGCCTGGGACTGTACTGGTGGGGGGTGGCGGGGGAGGGGAAGAGAATGGGTCGGGAGAGGGATCCCACAGTGCGGGGGGGAGGGACTTCCTGAGCTCAGAGGGGTGGGCAGAGGCGGAGCTCGGATCAGGGGGACCGTTGGTGGGGGGGAGGGGAGTTTGGATTGGGGGACCCTGGGAGGGGGCAGAGGGAACTCGGGGTTGGGATCCCTGTCCCAGTCGATGGCTCAGCCCCTCCCCCCCTCATACACACACACACACACACACACACACACACACACACACACAC